CAAATGCTATTTACTCCAGAAAGGCAGTTCTTTGGAGAGGAGAAGGAATAATTTCAGGTTTACACAAGGCAGCAGGGGAGAGGGAGTCCCTCTCTCCTGGAATCAGTCACACAGCCAGCTCTGGAGCCTTCCTGGTCAAGCTTGCCTGAGGCTGTTCATTTCACAGTCCTCTGGTTCAGATAAGTTAAGCAATCAGAAAAGCATCTGATTTCTACCCTTCAAATTGCATTTCCTGTTGCTTTTTCTTCAAATGTTAGTTTGAAAAGCTGCATTAAAAAAATAACTGACTCTGCAGTCTGCTTTGTTTTACCATTACACCTGTCTGGAACTGAAGACAGCCTGAAATAAGCAAAGCCAGCGGAGTTTTTCTCCTTTTTCTCCCCGGGCCCAGGTACCCGGGGCTTGCAGATGGCCCTGAGACATTTAGGGGAAGTGCTCACAGACGCCAGGACTGGAAAATTTACAGATTTGCTGCAAAAGGCCGGAGAAGGAGGAGCATGGAAAATGTTCCCTGTAGCAGACAAGCAGCCGATTATCACCCCTGCTCCCGAGGGTCTGTGAGTGAGAGAAGGGCCACTGCTTCAGGCAAACCCGGTCTCACACTGGGGCTTTGTGGGCTTCAAATGCTGCTGTGTTGTACAGCACAGCTTCCAGGGAGTGTTGTCCTTATTTCCAGCATCTTGCCTGAAGGGAAACACGTATCCGTAGTAATAGCACCAGCAAATAAAACCAACCTAGTTTTACCATTCAAATATACCTAGAAATAATTGCATTAATCAACATAATGTGGATGCCCCGTCCCTGGGAGTGTCCAAGGCCAGATTGGACAGGTCTCTGAGCAACCTGGTCTAGTGAAAGTTGTTCCTGCCCATGGCAGAGGGCTTGGAACTGTATAATCTTTAAGGTCCCTTTCAACCCAAGCCATTCTATGATTCTGTGATAATAGAATTGAGGAGAAAAATTACTTTTCTATTTTACCTAATGCGAGACACTTCATAGCACATTTGACATCATCTCCCAGCTAATGAGAATAAATTCAGCAGTGTCTTTTTGAGAAATGCATCTTTGCTAGTACAAAGCAGCTGCTTCAGCTGGAAGAGGTCAGATTCAGGCATCATCAGGTAGTAGTGCTGCATGCAATCTTTGAAGCCCTCACTTCTGGGCAGGTGGGTTCTAGCTGACCACAGCTACAGCAGTGAGGAAGATACTTGACAACTTTATGCCTTCTTCTGTCACTCTGACTGCTGGAGCCACTCGTCTGTACATTATAAAACATCAAACATCTTCCCTCCATTATCTGACAGTGAGATGAATCTTACCTGCTGGTGTGATTGCTGCTTTCTGGCCAGGAATATACTCATTTACTGAACACATCATGCTCAAAACTGACTGAGCTCCAAAAGAAATCTCTCATCTCTTTACAGCTGCCATGCTGGAGTTAGGGAAGAATGGACGAAATTGCATGATGAAGTAAAATAACACAATCAAATTACCATATAGCAACCAGGAAGAAACTAAAATAGAAACGCAGTCCTGTCTCATTCTGGAGCTGGACCACAGCCAGTTTGCAGTCTCCTTTTCTCTGGTGCACCCTTACTGTAATAGAAAACTTGTTATCCAAGGGTACCCTGGAAAACCACCTGTAACAGATTCCCAAGTTGTAAATACAAGAGGAGTTAGTTATATGGAAAGGTTGACTTTACATACATGTTACAGCTCAAAGATTTTTTGGAGACAGCTTTGCCACTAGTGAAAATGTATTTAAGAAGCCAGACATATTTTCATGGTAAGCTTATTTTATGATTCTAATAAATACAAATAATAATAATTATTGTTACTCATGGACAAAAAAAAAAACTGCTTTGTTGTGTAAAATATGGAAGGAGACATCATCTCCTCTAGTTCAAGAGGTCTCAAATCTGCTGAACACTTGAAAATTTTGGACACAGAAATTCCTAGTACATGCAGCATTTTTCAAGGTATCTCAGTGGGGTCATTCTTCACAGAAATCTCCTTTTCCTGGAGGGCAGAGCTGATTCCCCACTCTCTCCTTGGGTGCTTGCTTTGCTCAGGCACCTGTTAAGGAAAGCTGGACCAGAATTCAGGAACTTCCCAACCCTAATGAACTATAACAACTGCATGACCAGAAAGGGAAAACAGAAAAGCAAGTGAAAAACCACCCTGCCCAAACCCCTAAGTAGTTCAAATGAGTGCTGACAGAACTAATTAGTTGTTTCTGATTTGCTGAATCCAGTCCAATAAACACGGCCAATTGGTTAAAGTCTTTGCTCCAGGATCAGACAAGCATCCATCATCCAGACTGGGTGCTCTTAGACAGCTCATTACATTTGAGTGACTATTGATTGGCAAAACCCTTGGCCCACAGTTTGCAAAACTCTGAAATTTGTCACCTGGCTTTCAGAGGCACCAGCTAGTCAGTGCTGTTCCCCTCAGGGGAATCGGGAAGTGGCTTGGCACTTCTGAGATTTGGGCCATTTACTTAGCTGGGTAAATGTGGATTTACTTCCTTTTCAAATTTGCAGGGGTTTAAATGCTTGCTAAATCCATGCCATTTCATGAAAATAAGAGATTGAAATTGTAAGATAGGCTAATGCACTTTAGAGAGCTGTGCTCAACATATTTTCTTCTGGCTGTGCTAGTCCTGGTCCCTCCCTCTATGTAGTCTATCTGCCTCAGCAGGGCATAGGAAGATTTATGCACTGACAAAGGTGGCTCGACCTGCTAGTGCCTGCTTCACTCCTTGGTGAATTAATTTTAGGAAGGGTTGTGGATCCTTCTGAGGCTCTCCCCTCTCTCCTTCCCTATCTTCCTCCCTCCCTCCCTGCAGTGCTGGCTGGCTACAGCATGACCCTGCAGACCACAGTGCCTCCAGCCCAGCCCCAGGGCACTCTGCATCACGGCTGGGTGCCATGGTCAGACCATGACCCGATTCCTCCCATAAATTGCATAGAACTCTTCCTCTCGCCCAAAGGGGAGGATGCAAACCATGAGTTTTCTTCACTGAAGAATAGAAAAGGAGGCTGTATCAGAATAACTAATTATTTTTGCTAATAAAATCTGAGAAAAAGTATGACTGTCTCTCTTGAGCAAATATTATCTTCCATAGACAGAGGAAGATAAATTGTGATGACTGTGGTGGTACCAGCACTCTGGCAATGCTTTTGTCTTCTGCTTGCAAATTGCTCTGCTTTCAGAAAACACTGCCAGTACTGGTGCTGTCAAAACCAACTCTGTGTTACAGGGTTTTTCCCCTTTTCTGTGACCTTGGTAGTAATTAAGTGTCTCATTCTCACAGGGAAAAAATGTGAAGCATGAATTGGACCTGCTGGCCTGGCTGCTGATTTATGGGTCAAGTCTCTAGCTGTTACAGACAAAATTTTCAAGTCTCTGATTAAGAAACCCTGCTGATTTAAGGATCTCACAAGAAATGTGTGCATAATGAATTATCTACAGATGATAATTCAAATTATTCCTTGATGATTCATATCACCTTCCTTTATTAAATTACCATTTTAGAAGTCTAACAAGGGCAATGCAAGCTGACAGGTGGTGACATTGCAACGTATATAACAGGTCAGCCAAGCAACATGCTGTGAGTTTGGGTAAGTGGTATTTGATTCTAATCAGAGATGCCAACAGAAAGCAAAGGCTGAAGGAGATACAAAAGTCAAACTGGTATCATTAATGGTTAAATGTTTCTCAACATCCAGCATGTCTGCCTTTTATTCGTCTGAACCTGTGGTAACTTTTTTCCTCACTTGAGTAAAAGTGTCCAGCTAACAGTCTGCAGTAATGTTCTGCTCCATTATTAGTTGCTATATTAGCATAAGGTATTATTATTAGTACTAATTGCAGTATTATTTGCTAGTAATAAAATGGCAATATCTGTTCTTGCTTAGGGAACACTGAGAGCTACCTGACATCACCAAAATCTATACATACGTGAGTAACGTGTTACAAAGACGTAAAAATGTGCAGCAGATGACCAATATTTTTCCTTTCTGGATTCAGGATTAGGCTTTTTAGATCTTAAACCTACATGCTTGTGAACCTAGAAATACCTGCCCTGTGTCCTCTGGAAGGGGTGTATAGAAAATCAGTGCTGCAGACATCACGTGTCTCTTACGGTCTAATGGTGGAAGGAAACAGTGAGCCTGAGCATTGGGAACTGGGAAATGCAAATGCACTGAATCTGACATTGCTTTAGTGTCATGTAATATTTTTCTCCAAGTAAACACATGATAGCAATCACTGTCTCTACATCTGACACACATCAGGAAAGTACTAGAAAATGCAATTAGCCGGTGTTAGTCTTCACCATGACATGTCCCTGTAAGAAGGCTCCACTTATTTCTGTGCTTCATAAGCTGATGTGAGAAGGGTCTCGGAGCCCTGTACCTTCAACCTTCTCCAGCAGTGCCATTTTCTCATGGTGGGTGCCACCCAGCAAACACAGAGCAGGTGGCAGGGGATGGCCTGGACCACAGAAGTCAGGTCATTGCAGCTCTGGCAGGGTTGAAGGATCTGCTCCCTGTCACCATGTGAGCATCATCCCAGGTGGGGATCAACCAAGCACACAAGGGAAATCAGAAAATGTGTCTGCGTTTTGAAGGTGCAAAATAAGTGGCAAAGGCAAGATACAGTTCCATATCTGCAGCAGTTTCACAAAGAGATTGTGCTGTTCCTGTGAAACATTAGCTCTGCAATTGCTTAAACCCTGGGGTTTTGTATTATCTGGCCAATACATATGCTAAAAATGAACAAAACCATATTCTGGACTTCGATAATTTTTATATTCCATTGGCTGTAACAAGTGTCTTCCTGGCAATAACTTAGTAAGCCCAGCAAAAGAAGACTTCAGCAAATGCATTTAAAATGTAATTAATATACAGAAAACCAGACCATAACAGCTTGTGCAAGAAAAATTACTTTCAGCAGGATGATTTCCATATTTTCCACAGGGAAATCCTGGGAGAATTCTGTGTGCATGCTTATGAAGTGCATGCACAGTAAAATCCAGTGTATTCTGGACACCCTGGGCTTTGCTGAGCTTCCTGAAATGTTATTCAGCACACAGAGTTCAGCCTGACCCTTGGCACACAGAAGTCAATGCACCTTCACTTCACAGCACATGTACTTTGGCTTGGAGTCTGCCAAATCTTGGGCTAGAACCAACCCCCCAGGTGAGTCCTCAGATGCCCTAAAATCCTGAACAACTGCCCCAAGCAGTTTCTGGCTGGAAAAAAATGCTCTGTTGAGGCAGTAGGGGTGGTGGCTGCTCTTGGAGCTTGAGAACACACACTCCAAAACAGAATAAGCAGACAAATCAAGCCCCAGTGATGCCTGTCTTCAGAGGACGCTAAAAAGTATTTGTGAATTGCTTTTTCTTAATTTGTGACTTTTCTTAATTTATGAACTAATTGCTTTATAGCCCATATGAAAATGCCGTTGAACCATAAAATCGTATTAGCACATCTCTGTGCTTGGGAGAGGGGCATAATTTATCTATGAGACTGGCTTTTCCATAGCCAAAAACCTTCTGTAACACTAACTCCTTCAGTCATAGTAACAAACTGGTACTTGTCACCATCCAATCTCATTACGTTCCCCTGCACTTGATCCTAATTATTCTGCTATATTCTTACCTCAAAATTCTTCTCCAGTAAGCCCTAACCTCTTCTCAAGTACCATTTTTATTTGAAAAGCATCTCCAATTTAACTCCAAACCCCACTTCTTCTCTAAGCTGCTTTATCCCTCCAGACCTCTTAATGTCTTTCCAGTCTCTCCCCATCTGCCTCTCTTATTTTTACTGTATTATCAGGGGCATTTCTGTATATGTGTGTGTTGTAAGCATGGATGTGGTTACCATGATCCTTCTCAAAAGCTTTCATTAATTTTCAAGAGCTCTGGACTTACTTCTGGGATATTACTAAGACAAAATACACAAGTAATTTCCAAAGCTCCCCAGAAGCACCCAAAGGAGTCAGCCATGTCAGGCCACTGAGGTGGTGCTTACCAAAGACAGAAAGACAATGCTTGTTTTGGATGGTTTTGTTGCAGATAAACCAGTGGGCTAATACTAGGGCAAGCACTATCAACAGGTTTTGTGATAAAGCCAGTCAAAGAAAAAGACCTACAGCCACTGGAAAATCTCCAAAGGTGGAAGAGAAAGCAGGTAAATCTGTGGATCAGAGAAACAGTGAGCGTGGCTCCAGCTGGGGGCAGGTTCACGGAGGAGCTGTGGTGCCTGACCCAGGCACAGGCAGAACTGTGTAGGTATGGTGTGGGGAGAGGCTTTAAATCATGCTGAGGGGGACTGTGGGTCCAAGTATCCAGACAGAAGAAATGAAGTGTGGCAATTGAAGCCATTAAGATAGCATTTCCTAAAGTGTTTTTAAGGATGAATTGCAATTCGGTTCTTTGCCTACTTAAAGAAAAAAAATATTCTTCCATTAGCCAGTAGCGTAATCTTAGTGGTTTCAGACAGTTCTGCTTAGTCACAGACACTTTTTGCATGAAAAAATTGTGCAGCCTATAAACACTTGTATCTAATCTTTATATTTTTTTTCCTGCACTTCTAGAGGTGAAGTCAACCCAAATCAGTCTCATAATTAATTGCATCTCTCTATGAATGTAAGTTGTTTTACAATAATTTTCTAAATTTCTCATGTGGATCCTTTAGCATCTAGTTCTCTTCTTAATGTCTATTCTAAAAATGTAGCATTCTTGTAAAACAACTGTTAGTATTTCTGTAATAGGTCTCTTAGATTCTCTCTCAGCAGGAGTATTATCTTCCAGTCTATCATGCTTTTCTTTTTACCTCTCGAGGTCTGTTTGTTACGAAAATTATTCAGTTGTAAGTTGAGCTTCTCTCCTTTTTTTAGTGAGATCTGAAGGAGAAGATGAGAGAGAATTATTTTCAAGGGTGCAGCTGGAAGAATGAAAATAAAAGCTAAGAGTTAAAAAATTCATGTTACTTATTAAAAAGCTTAAATGCTAGAACCCAGGCTATGAAGTACAGAGAACAGTTGTTTACCAGCTCTTCATTTTAATGGCTGCCAAAGATTAAAGTGGTTAACAAAGTGAGGTTTCAGAGCAGAAAGAGCAATGCTCCATCCCTGGAAGTATTCAAGACCAGGTTGGATGGGGCTTTAAACAACTTGATCTGGTTGAAGATGTCCCTGCCCTTGGCAGGGTTTGGGAAGGGTGGAAGTAGCTGGTCTTTGAAGGTCCCTTGTGACCCAAACCATCCTGTGACTCCATGATTACAGGATTCTTGTGAAAGTATTTCATGCTAGTAATTAGAATTATCTTAGTGCCTCGCTGATGGTGTTTTGGCAGAGAGGCAGGAAGGGCACAGGCTTGCCCACCTGGTCCTCCTGGCTGCCCACATCCCTTTCTGTACCAGTCACCTCCTGCACTTCTCTGAAAGAGGGGCAGAGCTCCTGGCTGCGCTGCCCCGAGCATTTCTACCGGTATTTCTACCAACCCTGCAGTGTGGGTATAACATTGCACCTCTTGCAGAAAATTTTCCAACTACATGACTTCCCAAAAAAAGGTTGCTTTTCAATTGGCACTCAGAAAACTGGAGTCACACAGAGGTTTTCATAAGTTATGCTTCTTCATGTACAGTTCTAGTAGTCTCTGAATTCCTGGAAATTTATTTTGGCGTAATCAGACTATTTGACACGGGTCCTCTCAGTTCTGCGCTGTCGTGTTTCCATGTTTGAATGCACCCACTTGTTTAAAATGTATTTCTTTTTCCACTTTCTTATTTTTCACGTTATTCTTCACTGCATTTATCCATGTATTTGCAGATGAAAAATTAGCCTTGCAGACCACTTCACTCTCCTTGTCAGAAGATTTGCTCTGCTCCTGTAGTGCTTCCCTGTCCTTTCTCTGCCCTGTCCTAATCCTCTACCTCCTTTCTGCAAGCAGCACGTGGAGGGCACCCATCTCCAAGCTTGTCTCTGCTTTCTGCTTATATTCTCTCTCCTCACACCTCTTTCATCATTCCTCTTTTGCTTTAGAAATCTTTACTTGCCCTCATCCCAGATGTGGGAATGACTCTCTGAAGGACACGTTGGTGGTAGGTGATGGCAATTGCTGAAGGTGATGTTATCTCACCTCAACATGTCACGTCTCCTTCCATTAGAGAGCCATTATGTTTATTGCTTATGGCATTTCCAAAATCTCATAAGAACTTTGGAGCAACTGGATAGAGTTGAGTTATGTTGAATGAAGGACAAGAACTTGGTAGCATTGGAAGAAGGACTGGTGTTCTCACACATAGAAGGAATAAAAATTCATGAAGAAATAAAAAGAGAAGAAGCTGTAACATAAGTCAGCCTGCTATTGCTCAGTGTTTAATATTGGCTTTGTAGATAAAAGTGTTTGCAATCAAAAGCTTTAAATTCTATTTCTGCCTAGGTCCCTTTAAGTAAGAAATAACTAAGATCCCAGTTTTGGACCAAACTATGAGAAAGAGTCATTAATAGTTCATAATACTCAATCTCTATGCCCTTGGATTACAATTTTAATACAGCATGCCTCACTGCTGGGTGTTCTAACTCACGTGTAATCAGCCATTCCACGTGCATGGCAGAACAGGGAGGTATTTCCCCTCAAAGGAGTTGAAAGAAAACAGACATTCAGGCAACCCTGGAGATTTGTCATACATAAAGGCCACGAGACTTTGCACCTTCAATAAAGTGAGGAGAAGATAAAGCCAAATCGACTATAATCCCTCTGAACTAAAGGGTATATTGGAAATGCTTGGGATAGATACCTATTATGCTTCCTACCTTCCTGCCTCTTAGGAGAGGAGGGGAACTGGAGTATCCCCAGCTTCCTACCATCTAAGGAGTCTTTCTGCTGTGCCTTTTGCAACCGGAGATGCCTGTCTCGTACTGGCCTTTTCAGCCACCAACGCGCCTGCAACAAACGTGGGTAGAGCCCTTCCCAAATCTTTGTTTGCAAAGCCCAGCCGTGAATGAAAATCCCTAGCTTCCATAAAGAAGTATGGAGAGGTTTTAACAGAACACTATGCCAGAGCAAAAGCAACAACCTCATCTAATTTTACTTGGTCTCTGACAGGTTACAGGGAAAAGAACGAAGTCAGGGTGTGGCAGCTTTATTTTCTGCAGCTCTGAGCCCCACATGCACTTGCTCAGGGATAGTGAGTCTCTCTGACCACTTACTCCTGCCTGAGTGGCAGCTGCAGCCACCAGCTGCAGCACACCAACAGGTGTGCCACGAGTTGTCAGGAACTTCTGCCTCTTTCTGTGCTTTTTTGCTCTTTTTTCACCTTACTTTTTCTTTGCCTCAATGTTTTCATTCTTCTCCCCACATTATTGTTTTCTTCCCTTCCTTGCTTCATCCCTTGCCTCTCCCTCATCTCTCTGCCCTCAGCTGTGCCCTTGGTCCCTGGTAGTTCTCCTTTCATTCCCTGACTGACCTTGTCATCTCTTTCTCCTCTCTAACTCCTTTTTTATTAATATGTTGAGGTATAGCAGAGCAGTATTTTGGCTGGAAGCAGCGTCTTCCCAAGGAAATTTCTTTCCCTGGGCCATTTTGTGTCCCTTTGTGCATGGAGTTGAATGTCACATCAGAAACAGCGACTTTGCACATATAATCTTTCCCTTTCTTTCTCTCTCTGTCTCTCTTCTCTTCTGTTTCTTTCTGCTGTATCCTTCATATTCTGTGTGCACTTGAACAGTGTCATAGCCTCAATCTGATTACAAATTAGTGCAGCTCTGTCAAAGCCAGCAGACAGGGTTGAATTAAAGGCTCATATCAATGCAAAGTGAAAAAGGAAGCATCTTTTTTTTAGTAGGAGACAGACTTGATACAGAATGATGAAAAAGTAGAGTGGATTAATAAAGACGACAAGGAAATGGTAGCAAGAGCGCACTTCATAAGCCTACCACTCTTCCATGGCTTTTATGAATTCCTACAATATTTGCTAGAATAATAGAAAGGAGCAGCTGCAGGGAAAGGCACAGACAAATTACAACCCACTAGTAATATCTGTATTCAGGACAGGTCTGAAACATACTCAGATAGTGGTCTGTGATATATTAAATGATAGTGTATATTGCATTAACCTATGGTTAGTTACTGCTCTGTCACAAACACTGCACTGTCTTGAGCGCTTACTTTGCATGAGGCTTTCAAGGACAGTAGGATCTGCACAGCTTTAGACAGGTCTATATGGCTGGATATAGATGGACCTGTGCTCCCTCCAGCCATGCTCAAAGTTGTTTGAGCAGAGAAAGAGCATGCCCAGGGCTATGTATGTGTGGCTGTATGCATGCATATATGTACTCTATGTATGTAAAAATATAAATTTTGGCATACAAAAAAAAAAAAATCCTACTTCAGGACAGACTTAAATATCGGATGTTCTGGGTTTTTTTCTTATGAAAAAACAATCAGTGAGTAAGCTCACACCTCAGAGTGCTGCACAGGTCCTGATTTGCAAATGCTTTTTTTCTTTTTGGATTTTGAGTAATGATTACGGTTCACTTTTTCTCTCCTCGCCCGGCTGTGTCCTGTGCACAAACCCGTTGGCTGATAGAGACATTAGGAGTGCTTTGCCTCCCTGTCCATGTCTGAGCAGCAGTTCCACCCTGGACTTTGCAAAACACCAGCCTGTCCCTCACACTGAAGAAATTCACAAAAAATCATACTGAGAATTCAATTTTCTGCCAGCTTAATGACACTTAAATATCTGCTTTCTAAGGCATCATGGAGACTCTGACACTGTGTACACCTGAACGTGTTACCTTCAGTCTGCTTTGTGTCCCTGCCTCCTTTGCCTTTCACAGGAGACGCTGTCAGGATTGAAGATCATATGAGATGAGATACATCCTGTGTAGGCAACAGCTGCTCACAGGCTTCATTGACCTGAATAGAAAAAGAGTCCTGGACTGGGAAGGAGATTAACAAAAGCAAGGTTTGATTTGCTATCAAGCACCAGGAGCAGGAGACAAATGTCTGTCCATTCCACATTGTAATGGCAGTAGTTGCAGCTATGGTCAGTGGTAGAGAGGGTACAGAGGACACATGGAAGGTAAGAGCTATGGGAAGTTTGTCTCTCTGCCCTCTCTGGCCCCAAAGCCTTGGAGGTGATGGTGGCGGCAGCCAAAGGGAGCAGACAGCAGCCTAGGATCTGTCCTTGGCTGTTTTAGGTATAAACTCCCTTGTCATCAATCAGGAACAGGATGCAGTATTCAAAGAACTCTCCTTGTTTAGGAGCTTTGAAATAAATCAAAATGACTTTACATGGCCAAGGTTGCTGCAAGCTTACATATGCTTGAAGTATCTCTTTTTTACATTGAAAGAGCTGTCTCTTCTTTCCTTTTATTTCTTTTTCTCCTGCCATACAGCCCCCATCTTCTCTCACTCTCCTTTCTTCTTCACATCCATTCTTCCCTTCTTCTTCCCCTTGGCTCCCATCCGAATGTAAAAAGTCGAGAGGATGGCAGCATGAAGCTCTCAGTGAGGATGCTGCCTGTTGGTAATGGACAGTAGGTGGAGCACATCCACTGTTTTAAGTACCGGTGGGTTTCATCACTTTTTTACCTCCTGTAAAACTATCTATCATTTCTACTTCAGTGAATCAGTAGTTGCAAGGTATCACAGCTCTATACAAATCAGCTAATCTTGGTTAGACCTCAGCAGAGAGCATCACGACTCACGTCGAACCACATGGGGCCAAACACTGGCTGATCTAGACAAGAAATAAAAATCTAAAAAGGAGCACTCTCTTAACAGTTTCCAGTTCTGGGTGCTGCTCTTCTTTTTTTTTTTTTTTATATATTTGTTTGGGTTTGTTTGTTTGTTTTGTTTTATTTTTTTTCACTTAAGAAAAATCTATTCCACAAGTGAGCACCAGCCTGGGGTCCATCCCTTCCCACTTTCCTGTCTTTCTGTGCCTGGTCTGCAGCTTCATG